CAATTAACGTTAATTGCCTTCTTGCGCGTGGATAGTTTGTTGGACGGCGCGCAGGCTCTGGTCTGTTGAACTTTCATCATGGGCGGTCACGGATGTGGAAACGTCAGGCGAATAAACGTATTGTCCCAGCGATTGAGTCGTCTTCTTCTTCTCAATTACTTCCTGGGACTCGCAGGTTCGATTGTATTGGCAGGTTACTGCTTGTCTGCAGCCCAGCGAGCCAAACATATTTAATAGGGTTTGGTTAACTTATCTCTGTGTATTACACACGCTTGGAAAAACACAAACTGGGCCCGTGGTTGCCTCATTCATTTTCGAGAATCTCCCATTGTCAGCGGACATAACAAGTTGCAAATAAAAATATCCTACATGTAAACAACCACGATACCTGATACGCATTATGTTACTTAAGCGTTGTTCTCCGAGTCTTAAACTGTTGAATATAGCACAAAAAGGCAATCAGTTGTATCCGGAATACTTTTTATCATAGTCACATCCTTTTTTGTCCTCGCCCTAAAATGGGAAATTTTGAACAAAAAAATAAAGAATATCAGAAGAAGGATTAAAAAGATCAAGAAGAAAGGGAAAAAGAAGAGGACGAAGAAGCAGAAGAAATGATCACTGAGACATGCAACCTATTGGCCAGAGGTTAAGGATTTTCGGTCAAAAATATCAACAGAGGCAATTGTAGCTAACGGTAACGGAGGCGCTAACAGTGAAGTGTTTCTAGAACGCACCTTCTATGCAAAAGTTTTCTTAATTAAATTCGCAGATCGTGTATTCATCGTCGGGTTCGTACGTGATGTGGTGATTGCTAGAAAGGCTGCACCCCAGTCATTCATGTTCGAAGTATATCACGCTCGCAGACTTGCGGCGTAATAATTAACCGACGGTTTGGCTCGCTATCAGAGGAACCATCGGTTGCCAGTATCCTCTACGTGTGGATACTCAATTTGCTTGGATAGAGGCTCAAAGCAGCTTGGGAGCGGGATGGTCAGTGCACTTATTCATCGACCGTGGATAAAAGGGCAGAAAGCCTATCAGTTCCGGGTTCATTTACTCGTCAGTCTCTGCGAGAAGTCAAACCACGTCAAACTTAAAACTCTAACCGGATTCCACTGAATGAGCCGTAGCCTGTAAACTAGATTTCTTCGGTCTCGCTGCAGTCACATGTTCAGCCATCCGCGTGCGGCATAATCTCTAGGTCCCTCTGACGCAGTTGCCTTGTATGCAACTTCATTAGTTATGTCAACCGACTCCACATGTTTCTAGTAGTGGCAGTGGTTTTTTCGACCTCCTTCTTTGGCAGCGGAAGGAAACTCGAATGGTCAGATATGGCGTATGCGCCAACATAAATCACCCATACCCCAACTCCAGTCTGCACGGACGCATCTTCAGGCGGAGTCATCCAAGCATAAGACAACGCCCTCATCACTACACTATGGCCTCGATTTTTATCGGCCGAGATCAGGTGTATACAGTCACGCTAGAGAAGTCGCTTCATGCCACTCCCATCATCTAACCTATTCGGCACCCGTTTACTTTCGAGTCATGCAAAAGGTCGAATGATGCACTCTGAACATAAACTTCCGTTAGGACGTTCATCACGTGTGCCATTACCGCATTAAAAACACAGTGATTGCAGGGTTCAGAAATTTAGTTAAAGTTATCCGGTTTCTTTGCCCGAAAGATCGTTATTTGTGAATCCGCGACCACATTATTCCATTCTGGACAGACTCTGTTTATAGATCATGCAGACACTTCTGTCCTGCTATGATGCGGCCTACATTTAGGGAATTATTTATGTGGACGTGCTGTCCCATTTAAGCGTTCCATCGAATGTAAAAAAAACATATTATATATCAAAAACAGAAAGGGATTCAAATTCTTCTGTTCAAAACAGTCCGATTTGAAGAATGTTGTGCTTAAGGTCATATGCTACAGTAAACAAAACCAGTAAGCTTCCAAAGGCTGTTGGGGTTATCGTTTTGTCTGAAATAATATTTGACAAACAGCTTTGCTTTTCAACTGTATCTTCCTG